AAGTATATATCAAGACGACGACTGAGAAGAATTCCAAGAGAATAAAATATATTGACCATCGTTAAAAACGAACTTATTTTATAACACAAAGTGGAACATTTCGCTAATTTCGTAAACTATTCGATTATTCTAAATGTATTAAAAATTATAAAATAAATTAACAAAAATCATAATAGTTACTAGCTAGTTATTTCTTTTATTGGAAAAAAATCTTAAAATCAAAAATTTCTTATTTTTCCCTGTTGAAATTGATTGTAGGAGTTAGAATCGCGGTTTGGTTGATAATCCAGTGGTTACCGTCATGCCATTTTTACTGAATCACGAAATTTTGTTAATTTTGATTAAATTGCATATATTTAGGCAAACTAAATTTTTATTACTGAAAATTTAGCATTCGATTAGTTTTTAAAAATTCTGTTAAATAAATGTTAATTAATTAATCATTTAAACTCTTTTTCATATTACATTTTCTGTGTTTTTAGCACCACATCTTTGAAATCACTGAAAATGTTAACATTCTCGTATAGTTTCATTTCGAAGAACCTTATAAGTATAAGTTATTAAAAGAAAAATTTAATTTTTCCTTTTTCACTCACTTTACAAGTTTTTGTTCACAAAACTTTAGCCCCTCATTGCAGTGATAATTAAAATTACAAAAAAAAAAACAAAAACAAAACACATCCAAAAATGAAAAGATAAACAAAATTTCCACATTGCACACGAGTACATTAAAAACTTTCTATCATCGCTGGCGACTAAAATAACTTTGCAAATATTTGTTTAAAGCTGTGAATTATACACTGAATAGAAATTAAAAATCTACAAGAATCTTAAATAAAAGATATGGGATGCCCTACTTTTAAAGTTGTCGTAAATTTAAAAAAAAAATCTTTTCGTATCCTCTAAAGAAATCACTTCCAGTGAAAAATAATTAAAAAAACGAGGCTTTTTTTAAAACTAAAATTTTAGCATGAAGAATTTATAAACTGAGGAGCTAAGAATCTTGACGATTTGGAGGAAATTCGAGGATAAAGTTTAAATTTGGCATATTTTCAATAAGAATTTATTCGGTTTTATTTCAAAACGATTGTATTTCTTTTAGGTTAAGTATGCAGTAAAGTAAAAAACATAAAATTTAAAAATAATATGGAAGTTAGTTGCAGTGCTTTTAAAAACGGAGAGAATGAAGTGAAATTAATAATGGAAAAGGTTGATTGTTAATTTAAGAACTAATTTAATAATTAACGAATTCAAAAATCAATTCGACACATGACAGAAGTACTTGTCTATGTATGTGAATCAAAAGTAATCCTAACGAAACTGTACGTTAAGAATAAGAGAAAATGAAAAAATTAAATAATTCCACCTTTTTTTCAAAAACGTTTCTTTTTCTCTAGTTGTACTTCTATTGCATATTTTAAAAATAAGAATTTTTTTACAGACTTCACTTTAAATATAAAGTTCTTTATTTAAATAAAAATATATATTAGTGTGATATGGTCCTTATATCAATATAATTTTGGCTTTACACTTCCTTAATTTGAGAGAAAATTCGAATATTAAAATGTTAAAAGTTAAAGGAGATTCTTTATATTTTTAATTTTCTAAACCAATACGTTTTCGACATAATAAGCACTACAATATAACTTGCAAATAAAAAGATCTAGAGGACATAGAAATTTTAATAATTTTGAAAAGAGAATTTTCTCGTACATAATCACACCTCCTTCTATTACTACATGGTAATTATATAAATTTGTTTTCTCTAAATTCATTCTAGGAAATCGTTCTAATATGCAGTTAATTACATTGAAAAATAATAAAAATAATCAACCGAAATGAAATTAATTTTCTTCTCTTGTCATTAAATTTTCATCTTTTAATATAGAATTTCATAGAAATAATATTTTAACAAAAAGAAAACGTTAATTTTCCGAAGGAGCCAAAAAATTTATTGTTATTATTTGTTTTTATCGTATAAAACGCGAATTCTTATATAAAATATTAATTTTGTAGGAGTCCTTTTTGTTCTTTCAAATATATCCTTATAATAATTATGAACGTATAGACTTGAACAACAAAATATAAGGAAAGGATATTTAAAGAGATAATAAGCCAGAAGGTGAACAAACTCATCTTTAATGAGAAAATTTAAACAAATAAAATTAAGTTGAAAACAAAATGAAGATGAAAATTAAATGATTTTCCGTTATCTTTTCTTTTTCGTAAAATTAAAAGCAATTTATCAAGGTCAAAAGTTAAATAAATAATAAAAATAATTTTATAGTTTTGATTACTCTGAGTAGCAATGTGTTATATAATATGTGTATATACAAAAATACGAAAGGAAATTTAGAAAATTAACAAAAATATTTTATATTTTTGCAGTGAATATAAAGTTGCGGTATATGTAGGTAGACATACATAAATAAGTACTGTAATTACTAATTACTTTTTAAAAACGCTATTAAAATGCTTATATACATAAAATATGAGCATCTATAATAAAATCTTCTCTTAGAAATTATATGGAATCTTAATACGTAAAGAATGATATAAAATTTTTACGCTTCTAGGTTTGAAAGTATTAAAAACTCCATAAAAAAAAACTCAAGGTCTGTTCTCTTATTTCATCTCTTCGAAAATTTATATCGCGGTAAATTAATATACATCTATATTTATATGTATATAGTATAGACCTACAGCCACAATAAATTACCTTACTTTTCTCTACACTCTGCAACATCAACTTTCCTTATGATTACCTTTGTGAAAATAATTTAATAAAATGTTTTTTTAATATAGCAATGGCAGAGTTCTAGATGTGTAATTAGCTAGTTCTCTATTTCGTGGTAATTTTTTTTTTTGGCGCACCTGGTTCATCTTGATTATATGAAAAGCGAAATAAATAGAAAATTTTTCAGTAATTTTCGCAAGGATTTTTTTATAGTTTGTTTACATTGATATTATATATACAGTTGCAATGGCAAAGGAAATAAAATCATAAATAACCGAAAAGGATAAGTAAAAATAAAACAAAAGAAATGTTTTTATTATTTTTGAAAATTTGGAAAATTTCCCAAAGAAATTAATTTTAAAAGGAAAAAAAGAATATTTTATTTAAGAAGAATTCTTTTTTTTTTTAATTTCTAATTTTAAATTCGGGTAAAATATATGAGATTTTTATAATTTTAAATTAAAAATGAAAATTACATTTCAAATGAATTTTAATCATGTTAATTAGAAAATTTGTTATACTGGCAGCCCTTAAATTTTCTAATGAATATTTGCATATCTTTGCTTGTTATTTAAAAATACAATTGAATTTAAAATTATTTTCTTCAAAAATTTATTCATTACGGTTATTAAATGGGCTGCAAATTTTTTTTTTCATTTTTAATTGAAATAAGCAAAATGTGATTTTGTTAGATTATAAATTATTTAGATACAGTTATACTGCGCTCTACTTACAAGCTTTTTAAAAAATTTATCTTCTTAAATAGGGACTCTGAGAAATTAAGTGGAAGATTTTCATTGGAGCTCATGACTAGATTCTTCAAAGATTTCTTACACTATTCCTTATAATTATCTTTCATTACGGGTAAGAAATCAAGTATGTTTTCATGAATGGGTTTCTTAAATAATTACATAAATATAAAATTAAAGGTTTAAGGAATTTTTTTCTATTATTTCTTTTTAATTGCTGTCTACTCATCAATACGAGCAAATTATACTCATTATCTTCCGCCAGGTTACTTTTCGGTAAAATTTTAAGTTTTCGTATCGAAATTTCAGGATTCAAATAGTAATTTAAGCTAAAACTTTAAACTCGTCAAACAAATAATTTAGAGAAGTGCACAGTGTTATACCTTAAAATTTTCCGCAAAATCCGGAAGAAATGAACAAAATTTTAAATTTTTATATTTCGACAATTTTTTATGAGTTTAGTTGCTTTAGTTGACAATTAACCTCAAACTAGCATTTAGATCATATATTTTTAGAAGGTCAGATTAACTTGACCCTCATTATAAATTTGGTTTCTCAAATTGTAGAAGGTAACTAGATTTTGTTCATTTTGCGAAACTTGGTTTCTAATTCCTTACATTTTCGATATAACTGATATCAATTGCTATCCAACTCAGTTCATTTTGATTATATACGGTTTTCTAGTTCACATTTGATAAAATATTAATTTCTTATTCTAATTTATATGAAAAATTTAAGGTTTTTAAAAAATGTAAAGCAGAAATTATATGAAATTTTGGAAAATTTAATTCCACTCATGTCAGTTTTGCTACATACCCTAAACCTAAAACCTATTTTTTAAATAACACTAATAATAATAAAATTTTGAATACAAAATATATAAAATTGATAATTAAACCTAAAAGTATGCAAATTTTTGTAATAATGTTTTCCTCATAAAATCTGCTAATAAAATAATTTCTTGGGAAAAAAAATAAAAAAGAATGTCAATAATTAAATTCTAAATGAAATCAATAAATTTTTTCCCCCCGAAGGAGAAACATTATACAATTTTAATTTCGTATTTTCTCAAATTTCTATAGAATTTTTTGTATTATCCAAATTATAGCAATTTAAGTGTCTTATTGTCTTCTCAAATTTCAAGTCGTCTATCAAATTTTGTATTTAATTCAGTCTTCTGTCAATTACTCATTTAACAATTATTTAATACATTTCTCATTTTCCTTGCACAATTAAAATTCCAAGAATTGACACTTTCAATAAATTTTTGTACGAACGCGTGTAGACAAATTGTTCATTTTACACATTACCTTTTTCGAATTTTCAAAAAAAAAATAATAAAATTTCTATATAATCAAATAATACATTTTAAAATCAGAAGGAACCACCACAGTTTAGATTATCAAATACCATTTTCGCTTTCACATTGTCGCACTCAAATAATTTTTATATTTAAAAAAAAATTTTTTAAACTTTTTTAATTTTTCTCATTTTTGTTTTGTTTCTCTTTATTTTCACAGTGGATTCAACAATTTTATGAGAGTTGAAAAGCGTTCAGTGGAAATTTAGTTTAATAGGAGCAGTAAGCAAGTTTTAAGGGAAAAAAAATACAACCTAACTAGTTATCCAAGTATACTTAGAACTCAGTAGAAAAACCTACATATATAAAAGGAAAATTTTCGTTTAAAAAGCATAAAAAAAATGGAAAACATGGGAATTAAATAGTCTAATATTTCATACACCATACACATTTTCTGCTTTAAGCAAAGAGGAAATGCAACAATTTATAGCAACAAAATATAACAAATTTAGATAGGAAGGAAAATAACAAGGAAGGAAGGAAATATTTAAAGTGAAAGAAAAACAATTTCAAAGTAATTTTCATGAGCTTTATACTTATATTATTGGAGTGGAGAGATTTTACCTTGTATATAGTTTGAGCATACTTTAAAAGTGAGTATCTTACATGTAAAATACTTATAGAAATACAAAATATCCACATACTATATATACATTTATACTACTTATAATTTTGTGTGCATTTTTTTATGTTCCATACTCTGCAACATTATAATAATTTGTGTTAAACTATGTGTTAGTGTATAAACTATGTAATAGTTTTACAACATTACCCATATAAACGAATTTTAAGTAAACTAATCACAAAGATAATAACAGTTTATAGTTTAAATTTTATTCTTTATAAAATAATATCTTCTACTTTATCTAATATACATCCATGTATTTATAAGTGGAATGGAATTTCCAAAGGAAAAGGATATACAAATAATGATGCTATTATGCTATATAAATATATTTCTGCCTAAAATGTTAGTAAAAGTTTTTGGAAAGTTTTGAATACTTATAAATGAAATTTGTGTAGGTATATGCACTACTTAGCATGTCATCTATTAAAATTAAGTTTGTAACTGAGAAAAATATGAAAATTTTTTTTGGCACTGAAAAAAATTTGTTGAACATTTGGTAAAATAAAAAAAAATTGTAATATACATTATTGGATTTTTGGTATTTAGTATAGCTAAAACTTCTATAATTGTATAACGAAATACTTCTACAAATTCCAGTCCATTTGAGGAATAAGTGAACAGTAGAATAGAAACGGGTATTATTTACGGCATATAGGGTGAACTTGTTGTTAGTCTACCGAAGCCATAAAGGGGAGATAGCGATTATTCTTGAAAACTGTCCAGAGTACAACCGAATTATCTCGAAAATGGGGCATTTCATAAAGAATTATTAAGAGGTAATTTTAAGGAAAAACTCAAAATCTTTTTTTGAATTAGTTCCTCAATAAGTTTTTCAGTAATGCCGCAAATAACACGCCGTTTCTTAAAAAAAACGATCTTCTTTTCAACGGTTTACTCAGTTGCATATTAATATTTTTAAATCTGTTAATAAATATGGAGGTTATAACAGCTTAAGTCGATACCAAAAATTTTCAACTGAGATTTTGGGTGTTAAATATTCATTAGCGTCCCTTCCGCCCTCCAGGAACGTTTTTTTTTTTTATTAAATTGTCCAATTTTCTGCCCCTGAGAGATTATGCTCTGTTACAGGTTCATCTATATAGCGATTTTCAATGAGTAAAGTCAATTTTATGTTTTGTGAAAGGAATTTTTCGTAGACATAATCGTCATTTTTACAATATAATTCTCTCAACTAAATAAAATGTTTTCTCTAATTTTATAGATTACTCGAACAATTTCTTGGAGTGCATTTTAAAAAAATTTTAAGAAAATATTCCCAATATCTCCTTTTAAATTTCATGAAATTTTGATCAGGATTTAATTTTTAATTTTTTTTTTGTTTATTTTATACAAAAAATATCCTTTTAATATAAATGATCCTTTTCTATTAAGTTCAATATAAAATATTTATGTTGTATAGTTAATGATACCAAAAAGTCTTAAATTAACTGTATATAAGTTTCAAGTTCTTACAATGAGGACAGGAAAATCTTTGAGGAAAACAAAATAAATCGTTTTTTTTTTTCTTGAATAATCTAAGAAATATTGATAGAGAAGGACCTATATGAATATTATAAGTTCAATATTATTATATGTAGACAAAGTTTTAAGTACATATACCAAGCAATAAACTCATTTGCAATATTTCTCAGCAAAATTATACTATATTTATGTACGTATATATAAAAATTTACAAGAAGACAAGTACATAGTAGTGTAATGAGGAAAATTTTACTTTTAATCTTAAAACTTTCTTAAAGAGCATTTTCTCAATATTGTTTTTTTAGTCTTATTAATTTTCTATTGTTTTAATATGAAACTTTTCTACTCATATTACACTCAGTTTATTGAAATGATATTTTTTTTTAATGAAAAAATTTGACCTGGATTTTCTTCAGAAACTTTGTTATGTAACGCTTAATAATACTTACATTGATTTAAAGTTTTCAGCAATAATTAGTTTTTTTTTTCTTAGGAGAAAAAATAAATGATAAAATACTTAGCCATATATAAAAATACAAAAAAATTTATAAAAAGTTTTTGTTCTACAATTATTTTTTTTTTCTATATAATTAAAAATATTTTAATTGGGTTTGGTGAATCTTATATAGAGTAGATCAATTTTAATAACAAAATAAGAAAACATGATATCTGATGTGAAGAGCAGAGGATCGACCAAATTTTTTAGTTTGATGAATGAAATTATATTTGTTATATCAGTTAAATCTACTAGTATCGTAGAGCATAGTCATAAAATTTTAAAAATATTCTACGTGCAAATTTTTTCAAAACTCTTGTATTTCTTTAAAAAAGTAAACTACAATTAAAATAAATTTTTGAAAATTGGTTCATCCAATAAATGTGATCAGTTAGATTAGCTAAAATATAAGTACACATAAAAATTATCCTTAAAGTTGTAAAAATTTTCTAAATCAAAAATATCTTTGATTTTACACAATAAAAGTAATTACATGCTTTAGTAATTTCATTCAGAATTATTGCCATAAATTTTCTATACTGTCTGCAAACTTTAATAAATAACTTGAGAATCATTGCATTTTTACCCTACTAATGAAACATAAATTTGTTAGAAGGGCTCCTTTTAAATTGTTGAAATTCACTTTTCACCTTCTCCTTATTATTATGAAGTAGAAAAATCCTTATTATTTGTGATCCAGTTCTAATAGTTTATGAACTTTTAGTGATAAAAAATATTTCATTTTTATTAGAAATTCTCATACTGAGAATAAGTAGGTGTGCAAAAGTTAATTGACTTTAGTAAACAACACACTTTTCTTATTATTGTAGAGGATTTTCTTATATTCCAATAAATTTTATGATGATCAAGACTCAAAGATTTTGTAATCAAATTTGTAAATAATTTCTAAAACGCAATTTTAAAAAATTTATGTAAAAGTATTTTTCTGAATTTATTATTGATTTTTTACAGTAGATCTTATTAAACTTTATGCAACAACTTCAATTTTGTTATGTACGTTCTCATTTTTTGTACACATGTTTTCATTTCCATTAAAAATCCAACTACATTTCACTTTTTTGATGTGTGAATATGCAAACATTGAAGTTTCATCTATTCAAAAGTGACAAAATGAAGAAAAAATTAATCTAACCTGAGTCAATATTAGAGAGCATATTAGCACTTTATTTCTACTTCAGCTTTCCTTTTCCATTTTTTTTTTATAAAGTAAATTCTTCTAGTTTCCAATGTCAATACAAGAAGAAAGAAGGAAAAAAAACTGAAAAGTAAATGAAAACGTTTTCAAATTTTGTAAATAATTCCTAGCTAGTAAATGCACTTTATATTTTTTTTTTTTAATATTTTGTACATGGATCGAAGTGGGTGAAGAATAGAGAAATAAAAAATTCAAGTAAGTAAAGCATAGAATAGCACATTTTATTTTAAAAATTTAATTGTAGGACTTGTATTTCTTATATAGCTGCGCATCTAAATAATGATTGTGGTTACTCTTTCATGAATATTCGATTAGATTCCTAATAAATTTATAGTTATAGTATAAGGGATAATATCTTTGATAAGAAGGCGATTGCAAGCATATTCTGGATAAAGAAATTCGAAAGAACTTATAGTGTTGAAGGAATAAAGGCCTCAAAATTTACTTTTTGCGAATATTTTTGTAATAATTACAGAATTTGGAAAAACTTGTTTTTTTTTTTTTTTATAATTCTGAATAGTTTGAACGGTACTTAAACGGGAGACAAAATTTTTAAAAATTTTATTCTAGAAAAATAATGTTTCTACCAAAACTTTCGTTGTGTAAAAATTTCCAATTTCTAATACTAACACTGTAGAATTTTGATAAACTGTTTGTTAAACCAAACATCTATAAAACAACTGGCAAAGTAAAACCAATCAGAACATTTTTTCTTCCAAGATCTTTCAGAAATTTGTCCAAAAATTTATATACCTTGAGGTGAAAAAAAATTTTAAGAAAAATTTTTGTATTTTTTTGTATAAAATTGAACTTTTTTCCATATACACACATTGCATTACTCTTCTCCATATGCATTGCATTTCAAAAGAACTCTTATGATTGTGACTTATCAGAGTAGGTAACATTAAACCACCATATCTTGTAGGAAATTAATTTTTTTGTGACTGAAAATATTATAGAAGATCGTCGAATTTTATTCAAGTTTGTTATACAGAGAAGTTTCTTTTCAAATAAATTTTAATATGAAAAAAAAAATTATTATTTATAAAGAACTGAACTTTCTAGTTTTTTGATGCAAGATTTGCATAATTGAAATTTCATTATTTGTAATCAAGAAATAAAATTTATCAAAATTACATTACCAAAATATTTGTAATATGATAAAAGTGGTATTTGTGCAACATAATTTTCTATCATTCTACTAACCATTCAAGGACAATTTTTCTTTAATTATTTCGAATAATTTTTTTAAAAAATCAATTTTCTAAACTTCGATCTTCTTAAAGTTTTTACATTTATTAAACATTTTCGCATTTATTTCAATTTTATATTGAACATTTAACCTTGAACAAGCCTTACATTCTCAATTATATAGTCAGCTCCTCTATACTACTGACATAACAAAAATTGCTGGAATTTAACAATCCGTACAAATTTTTCAGATATGTGTGGAAATTAAAGTTCATAAAATAATATTTTCAGATAAGTTCTAACACGTTTTGTTAATCAGCTAGTAGTAATTTAAGTACTTTAGAGAAAATTTGTAACATTCAACTTAGTTTCAAAACAATTCATAGTACGCATTAGAGCACACAGCAATTTCAACAAATTTCTCTTAACAAATTTCTTAAATTGACAATTCGAAAAGCGCAATAATCGTGTAAATTAGATTTTAAAATGTTTATGTTATCACTTTTTACAATATTAAATTTAAAAGTCAACAACATAAAAATATCATTATGAATAAGGTATATAAAAATGTAAAACCCCA